CTTTGATCATATTCCTTATTAAACATGGATAAAAGTATTATATAGGTCCACTGTTAAAACAAACAATAAGTTGCACATTAAATCTGGTATAATGTATTCCAACAAAGCTTAGAAAATAAAGGTGTTGAGGTGGCTTCTGAACTAAGTTTAATAATCATCTCCTCTGCTGACCACTTCTTTACATGTTGGACGCAACAATATGGTATGTTCAAATTGCGCTGTATATGATCCTTTAATGTCACATAATGGTGGATAAGGATCTACGATGCCCAAGTCACACAGATTCTTCAGAGCCATCAAGTATTTACTTTCTCCCAAGCGATCCAGCCATCTGCGGCAGAAAGCGAGGGTGCCAAAGTTTTCATTAATGACATTCAGCAAGTGTTTTGTTCTTGGGAGCCTGGGAAAAGAAATTCCAAGAATAATAGTTGCCTGAAAAGTTACCAACATTAAAAACATTCAAACCTCATTATGGTTGTCACTGCGTAATCAAGATTCAAAGCACTTTTTGTTATCTCTCTTAAAAAAAAAGAAAAAAAAATCGAAAGCAGAGTATACAATCCTCCCTTCCTTATCTAATGCTAGATGCCAGCTGAATAGGAAGGACAGCAGCGGGAGGCCAGCTTGCCATGCTTCCTGTGTCTGTGCACAGCTCCCAGTACACATTCAGCTAGAGTCCAGTGAACACACTTCCTTTCTGTGGAACAAGCTCAATGTCTTCCATTAGGTGTAAACCTATTTTCCAAAAAGGTTAAAAAAAAAAGTAATAAAAATAGGGAAGTTTACCAGTGGAAAAATGTTTTTAGACTAAAATGCTAGCAAAATAATGATCTCGGGAAATAGTATCTGCCATATCATTTTCATTTCTATCAGAGAAAAGTTTAAGAACCCAATTTCTCTGTTGTATTACAGAAGTCAACAGGACTCATTGTTAGAAGGTACAAATGGCACATTTATGAGTGTATCACCCTAAAAGTATGTCACACACACAAAAATGCCCTAAAGAAAATAATTACATCAAAACCAAGTCTCTCACCTTATTGGCACATGTCCAACATCAAAATTTTTCATGTAATGGGAGCATTCCATATCATCATGAACCACACCTTTTCCTGTGCTACCAAAGGTTTCAATGGCATACACTTCTCCTTCCTTAGAAAGAATAAAGGTCAAGGGGAAAAAACAATTTTTAAAATTATAATTACCAATCTCAATTTTAGGCTGAAGTATTCCCTACCTTGTATAAAAAACAGCATGAAAAAATTCCCTAGCATTCATTCCTTATCCACCCTTGTTATTTTATCAACATGATACTCTTTTGTCTTTGCTCTCCTCACCTGCCCCCACCACATTAGGATAAACGCTTTTCACAAGCAGGAAATTTTGTTCATTGCTGTACCTCCAGTGCCTAGGAAAGAGACTGGTCCATAGTAGATGCTCAATAAATATTTGTTAAGTGTTACATAATGCATCCATTGACAGCCCCAACTTGCACAGTACGGGTCGGTCTAGCCAGATAAATTTTGTATATTTGTTGTTGTTAAGTGCCATCAAGTCGATTCCAACCCATAACGACCCTGTATAGGGTTTACAAGGAGCAGCTGGTAAGCTTGAACCACAGACCTTGCAGTTCAAACGACTTTGCAGTCTGAGGTATTAGGCCACAGCGCCACACCAGGACTCCACCAGGACTTTGTATATAAACATAGCCAATTCCTGTTAACGGTGGGTAGGGATGACAAGTTTATTTTGCTCATACTGTGTATTTTATAATTAATGAGGAGCTCTGGTAGCGTAGTGGTTACAAATTGGGATACAAACCTAAAGGTCAGCAGTTCAAAACTACCAGCTGTTCCGCGAGAGACAGATGAGGGTTTCTGCTCCCGTAAAGATTTGCAGCCTCGGAAACCCTGTACAGGGTTACTAGGAGTTGCAACTGACTCCACGCAACAGAGGTTGTGAAAAAAAAAAAAAAATGTTTTTCACAAAAGGACAAGTGTTAATGGCATACATACCTCCATTCTTGTTGCCTCCCCTCCTTTCACAATGGGCACTGTTTTCCCCGCATGTATTCTATATGGCCCGATTGAATGTCCATTTAGATTACGGATTGGTTTCACTGTTACAATAGGAAAATAAGTCACTCAGAGTGTTTAGAAGCACAAACAGACCTCGTATAGTTTTTGGGTATAAGAATTCAAGCATTTATTTAGATATAAGGTATGGCATTATTATATAACCTCATTCAAGGTAAATAAACATGAATTAGAAATCTAATTCACTGAGTAAGATATGAAAAGATGTTTACAGCAAGATTACTGGTTAAAAATTAGAAGTAAGGGGGGGGCTTGATGGAAAAAGAATTATGGGATGAATATACATAAAGAGCTCTGGTAGCGTAGTGGTTACGAATCGGGCTGCGAACCTCAGGGTCAGCGAACAGTCAAATCGGTTCCAACCCATAGCAACCCTGTATAGGGATTCCAAGGAGCAGCTGGTGAGGGTAACCTCTGACACTGCAGTTCAAATGGCTTTGCAGTCTGACACATTAACTTACAGCTCCACACCAGGATACACTATATATAGGATGTGAGGTAAGGACTACAAGGTCAGTTTGAACTGCAAGACCAGCGTTTCATATGCACCAGTCACTCCTTGGAAACCCTATACATGGTATTTATGAGTCAGAACCAAGTGGACAGCACTAATCAACAATCAACAGCAATATTAATACATATATATCCACAGTTTTAGTAACTTAAGAAAACAAAATTCCTCACAACTGTACCAATGAACAACAAAATTAAAATAGAAAAAAAATTGAAGTTGTTAAAGCTTTCGTATTACTTAGGTCCACGTATCAATACTTATGGAAGCAGTAGTCTTCAAATCAAAGGACATACAGCAATGGAAAAATCTGCTGCAAAAGACCTATATACAAAGGATTCAAGAGCAAAGTAGAGCCCAAAGCCACTATATTTTTAATGAAAGCTGGACAATTAATAAAGAGTACCTAAGAAGAATTGGTGCATTTAAATTATAGTACTGGTGAAGAAGAGTTCTGTATGGCACTATAGGTTAATGTGCTGAACTGCAAGGCCGTTTGAACTGCAATGTCGGCGGTTCAAGCTCACCAGTTGCTGTTGAGAAACCTTATACAGGGGTCACTATGGGTAGGAAACGACTCAATGACACTTTAACAACAGCAACTGGGGAAGAATACTGAATAAACCATGGACCGTCAGAACAACAAATATATCTGTCATGGAAGAGGTACAGCCGGAAGGATCCTTAGATATTATATGCTAAAATGTTTATGTGCTTTACTAAACATTTAGTCAAATCATCCCCTAATATTTGTTGTTGTTGTGAAGTGCTGTTGAGTCGGTTCCAACCCATAGCAACCCTGTATAGGGTTCCCGAGGAGCAGCTGGTGAGCCTGAACTGCTAACCTTGCAGTTCAAATGGCTTTGCAGTCTGGCGCATTAATCCACAGAACCACACCAGGACTTGTATCCCTAATATACCAGGACTATAAGCCAATCAAAGCTGTAGAATTAGGAGAAAATTAATAATACAGACATTCATGTATGTCAGTCACTATTGAAATTTATAGGAATTTAAAAAAATCATTATAAAGGATAAATAATCTCAGTCTATAGCTAGGCAGCCTTCAAACACACTTCTTGTGAATTTCAACCCAAGTTAACTAAGACATTAAATTTGGTGTGGTGATATAAGACAAGCACTGGACTGCTAACAACAAGATCAGTGATTCAAACCCACCAGCCCCCTCCTCAGAAACCCTATACAGGGTTGCTATGAGTTAGAACCAACTTGATGTCACTTAACAACAACAAATCAAATGTTTGTGTATCTCAAAGTCATTTTACATGATATAACCACAGCCTGGGGAGGAGAAAAGATAGTGACTTTAAGTTTCTGCAAGCAGGTGCCTTCTTTAAAGAGCTCTCAAATAATGGAAGCTAGCAGAGATGTTAAGTGTCGAGTCAGTTCTGACTCATAGGGCCCAAGGAGCAGCCGGTGAGTTTGAACTGCCAACCATGTGGTTCAAACTGATCCTTCAGTCTAGTGCTTTAACCACAGTGCCACACCAGGACTCCAAAGATAAACTTAAAAGAGTGTTGCTTTCTTTTACAAATATACTTGAGAAAATTAATAATTTGCAGGATAGAAAATATGTAAAAGAAGACTCAGTAGGCTAGTATGCAAAACCCTGTGTGTTTATTAAAACCCCAAGCAATATCCATCTAGTATCAGGAGGAAATGGGCTGCGAAAGTTGTACAGTCCTCAAGGACACATTCTGCAATACCATCAAAGGGCAAAGCCAAAGCGACAAAGGCCAAAAGAAAGACTTTCTTCAAGGAGGAGTAACCAGATGGACCAAAGAACTTTCTACCACTATTTCAAGTCACTTCTTGCTAAGTGTTGTCAAGTAGGTTCTAACTCATAACTACCCTGTATAGGGTTTCTGAGGAGCAGCTGGTGAGTTTGAACTACTAACCTCGTGGTTCAAACTGACCTTGTGATCCAGTGCTTATCCTTCAGTGTCACACTAGTGCTCCATTTCTGCCACTTGTTGTTGTTAAGTGCCATCAAGTTGACTACGACTCATAGTGACCCTGTATAGGAGTACCTGGTAGGTTTGGACCACCAACCTTGTGGAACACAGGTCAGTACTGATCCTACAACGCACACCACACCAGGAGTTTAGTTGATAATTGTTACAGGACAATAACACTGCATCCTATCATTATACATTGAGTATATTAGGGGCATATATCTTTATACATTTCTAGATTCTAAGAAGTAACATCTGAAATTAAAAAATAAGCCTAATCATCTCCCAGAGATTTTGAAATGCACTAGATCTACTCATTTAAAGACTACTGGATAAGGCATAGCACTGTGATATTGCCTCCAATGAAGAGTATGCGCTATGTAAGGAAGGATGCATATGAAATGCCTGGGCAATCAAAATGTACATCCTGTGGTAGAGACCATAAGCTGCCTAAGCAACACTCAACTCTCTTCTTCCTCTCTAGCAACAAAGCCTTGACTTTTAGCTAAGCATCCTGACACCAAATATTTTAAAAATGAAAACAAACCAACAAGAAACTACACTTCTTTGCTTCTTTTGCAGCTTACCCCACTTGTCAGTTTGTCATACTGTGGGGTGGTGATTTGAGTGCTTTTGTGATGCTGGAGGCTATGCCACCAGTATTTTAAATATTGGTAGGCTCACTCCTGGTAGACGTTTCAGTGGCAATTACAGACTAGGAAGAAGAGGCAGGCAACATGTAAATGGTTGTTGTTATTAAGTCACTACACTTAGCAACCATGTCTAGGGTTTCAGAGGAGCAGCTGATGGGTTTGAACCACTGACCTTGGGATTCAAACTGATCTTGTGGTTCAGTGCATTATTCAGTACATTAGCCACTGTAAACCTTGAGAATAGTGTCATAACCGTCAAATGTACTTTGAGGAGGTAGTTCATCCCCAGTTGTATTCTGAGCACCTTCTAACCTAAGAGGCTCATCTTCCAGCACTATATCTCACAATATTCTGGTGCTGACAGTGTTTCACTGCTATTCATAAGGTTTTCAGTGATTAAATTATTTGGAAGTAGTCTATCTCTCCTTCCTAGTATGTCTTCATCTGGAAGCTCAGCTTAAATCTATACACCATGAGTGACCTTGATTACAAATACCTAGGGTATGGCTTCCAGAATCACAGCAACAGCAAGACAAACTGCACATGGCTGCAGAGGGTAGTGAAGAATAATGCAAGATTTCTTAAGACCTTGAGAAGGAAGTTTTCCTTCTTCCTTTGTGTAACTTGGAGAAAAATAGGATACGCATATCTATATGTTTAGATCTAAGGAAAGTTAACCGAGAAAGAATACCATCTACTCTGTTAATTTGGAGCACAAAAATCAATGTTCTAGTCCCACAAATTCCTCAAAAGAATTGAGAATTTTTTCTCTTGATCTCAGTTTCCTCCAGTGTTATATACTACTACATCTGGGAAGCTCATGTTACTAAGTCTAAGGTATTATCAGAAACAAGAAACCTCAAACAATTATAAGTTTTTTGAAGAACTAGACAAATCTATAAAGAAAAGTCAGTTGGAAATTACACATGGTATTTTCTTGTGTTTAAAAATTGTTTGCTAGAGAACAAACAAGATGGCGGATTGGATGGGAGCGCAGTAAAGGAGCTCCGCCAACAACAACACAGAATACCCGACCAAGTAGGCTCAGGGGACGGTCCCAGAACTTTCAAGCACATATGAAGGAATATTTAGAAGGTTGGAAGGTTCATAGCTGTGGAAATTTGTGGCAAAAGCAAGAAATCTATTGCTTTCTAGTCCGGGACGCTCAGCAGCTCCAGGAACCGCCATCTTGGGTGAGACCACGTGAGGGAAAGATCGGAGCAGCCACAGACGTCTGGCAGAACCGCTGAGATAAAGGTGTGGACATTCTTTTCCTCTGGTATCTATTCCTCTGGTCCCTTGCTGTCTGTGCACCTCCATTCTGGTGACTATAAGGGTGCCTGAGCCCACACTCGGAGGGTGCCACTACGCATGCGCACAGATCCTCTTGAAATTTAAAGAGACAGTGTCCAATTAAAACCAAACGGCCACAGCCAGCCCTGAACTGTTTACAACTAAAAAAGAGATCTGAACGGGGATTGTGGAATGGGACAAGCAGACAAAAAAGGAAATAAGCCGAAAATTAAATCCTAAGTTATGTCAAAATGACCAACATTGGTATCTTGAAATTTCTCAGGAAGAAGAGTGAAAAGGGAAGCCCATTTCCTGATCACATCTACCTGGAGGCATTCAGAAAGCATAAAAAATACCAAATACATACCCACCTAAGTATTAAGTCCACAGATAACCCCTGAAGATGCCTAAAAAACAGAAGCAGATGACTATATCTGCACATGTCCAGAAACAAGATAAAGTGACTGAGGCAAATGAGCTGGAAGGAGACCTACACTCCATACTGGAAGATGGGCAGGCTTTGGAAATGCCTGAGAAGGAATTCCTAGAACTGATTATAAAAGGTATCAAATATACAGTGCAGTTGAGAAAATATGGAAGAAGTCAGGAAAATGCTACAGGAACAATCAAGTAAGATAGATAGAGCATTGGAAACAATTCAAAACCTACAGAAAGAAGTCCAAATGATTAATAATAGAATGTCAGAAATGGACAATACACTGAAGGGCAAAGGAGTAGAACTGAAGAGATAGAAGCCAGAACTAGTGAGCTAGAAGATAAATCTCTCAACACTACTAAGATAGAAGAACAAATACAAAAAAGGATAAAAAAATCCAAAGAAGGCCTAAAATTCATATTGGATAACATGAAGAGGAATAACATAAGAATTATTGGCATTCCAGAACAGCAACAATCACACAAGCCCACAGAGGACATAGTTGAAGAGCTTCTGGAAGAAAATTTTCCTAACATCATGAAAGTGAAAAAATAAGCATTCAAGAAGCTCAATGATAGGCGGCGATAGGGATAGCAAAAGAATACACAGAAAGACAGAAGGAGGGGGACACAAAGAGGCACCCGAAACCAGGGTGGGATGCATCATTGGTGGGCAGACTTGGGACTACAGGCATCGTGGCCTGTGCAGGCAGCACCTTACTGCCCTGCAAACTGTACTACATGCCCTCCAAGCTGTAATGCACACCTGGGCTGGCCTGCATCTCAGTTTTATTTAGGGGAGGAGCTTCACATCAAGCTGGGAGGGACTAAGACAAGGTACAGCTAACACCAGTAATTTTCCAGACATTCAGGTAACTTTACATCTTACTTCACTGGTTCGGATCCCAGGCTTGCAACTTGGTTTCTCAGGCTCAATTAACATATCTATAAGCCCCTGAGCTCAGCTGAGGGAAGGTAAAAGGCTTGGGAGGAGTCCTGCTGTTTTGGCTTCGAGCCAGGTTTGCAGGAAGATGCAAGATGCCCAGGTGAATGGGCTGCACCTGGAAAAGGATTAGGGAGGATAGCTTTTTTGTCTATAGAACAAAGTACCGGGAAGTAGCTAAGCTATTTTCAGTTAATCTTTTGGAGAAAGGCTTGCCCTTGCAACCTTTACAGTCTCGGCTTTAGGGAAATATTACATTTATCTGTGGATACAAAGGGCTCATGTTTGGATTTAATAAAACATAACTGAACACTAAGATGAAAAACAATTTGTTATGACTGCCCGGTGGCCAGAATCTTTTCCTCAGAGCCTGTGGCCTGCATTGTCTGCAACACTCAGGCCCAGTGGGGCTCGAACTTCTGACCAGCTTTACATGGTCTGCAACAGAACCTGACCTATACTCAAAGCGGCAGTTACTCTAAATAACAATAGAGAGGGAAAGAGTCTTCAAGTATCAATGCTATCTGCTCTGTGCACAGGGTAGATAGGGACGGGCAACTTAGACATTGGCTATCTAAAATGAAGGGGCAATAAAGGCACGAAGTGCCTGGCTTACAAGGTTTCAAGAGGGAGTTTAGTTTAAGAATATGGGGGGAAAGAAAGAGTCCCCACTGAATAGCTATCATCCTGTCTAGATGGGTCTGGTAAAAAGAGATGGGGATAAGATTTTAAGATTCAACAGTGGATAACTGTTATCATGACTAACTGCGACTGTCACACTTGTAAAGGTAGAAGTTTTGTAACAAAAAACGGGGAGTGGTTAATCTTACAGTCCAAAAACAGAGGACCCTAGGATCATCAAGAGAGGAACGCACAAATAGAATGTGGGACCTTATCCAGAGAAGCAGCAGTGCCAGAGATGGAGGCATGGAGAGGGGGCGTGGCTGAGGACTCTAAATTCATCAACTAAGAAGAGAAGGACTAAGAACTGGTGGCCAGGAACAGACATGCAGCATGTGCCCTTTGGAGATGTAAATTATTACATATGCCTGAGTGGGTTTTTTTGTTTGTGTGTTTTTTAAAAATCAAATGTGGATAGAGAGAAATACTTTTAACTGATGGTATATGGAGGGAATTATAATCATTGTAATGAAACAAGTTTTATGAATTGTTGAATGTGAAACTGATGATGTGCCCTATAAACTTTCACTCAATCCACAATAAAAACTTTAAAAAAAAAAAAGAAGATTGTTTGCTACTTATGGTTTTAGCTATAGGACACATGGAAAAAGTAGGTTCATTCTTAGGAATGGATAGAAGCAAATTTAAGCCCATGGCTTTTCATGCGAATGTGAAATACAAAAATTTCATATGATTAAGAACAAAACAAAAACACCCCAGAACATTTAAATTATGGAAAGCAAGCAGTGCTATTACTTTCATTCTTTGTACAAAGAGCTAATGAAGAAAGGCTGAATATGTAGGAATAGGGGGTAAAAGGGTAAAATCTCAGAATACAGGATAACCTTGAATAGGAAAAAGGATTCCTTTTCATTGAAGAACAGAGAAACTGATTAAAAAGATAAAATACAGGCAGGGACTTGTAGGTGGTCAATGGACTCATGATCCATAGGTGACAACTTGATTTCCCATACAGATAGTGAAGCCATCAGCATGTAAACAGAAGTTAGGATGGTAGCAGGAGCCAAAGTTAGGAGAAGGACTAGATTTCAGAAATAAGAGCAACAAGGACAGGCAATGCCAGATCTTAAATCACTTCTGCACTGAGCATGTAGATGTTATTGCTAAGTACTGTGGAGTCTGTTCCAACTCAAAGCAACCCTGTATAGGATTTCCAAGGAGCAGCTGATGTGTTTGAACTGCTGATCTTTCAGTTAGTAGTCCAGTGCTTATCCTACAGTGCCACACCAGCACTCCTAGTGGAAGCATAGTGGTCTATCAAAGTGGCAACAGGGAAATGCAGAGAAGGATGAATAACATGAGTTTATTGAGGGGCAAGGAAGGTAAGACTCTAAGACCGTAAAAAATATGAAAAATGTAGGAAAGTCTTTGTACAAAAGTTATTAGAGCAAGTATAATAAAGAATAATGAGCACAGATTAGAAAGGATAATGGCTCTGGGGGGCTAGGGGATAGCTGATGAAGGGATGCGACCAATTGAGATGATTGTTGTTGTTGCTAAGTGCCAATGAGTCAATTGTGACTCATAGTGACTTCATATAGTGACTTCATATAGGGTTTCTGACGTGTAGTTGGTGGGTCTGAATCACCAACCTTTTGGTTAGCAGTCCAGTGCTTATCCTTAAGCACCACACCAGAATGTAGAGTACCAGAAAGCACAGGGACTCTGGGACTGTATCCCTAAGGTTTGAAAAAACCAAGAAACAAAAGGAAGCAAGCAAAAATAAGGAGGGACAGAAGGAATTAACTGACTTTCAAATTCTCAATGCAACAAGTCACCCTCACCTTTTCCCAATATCAAGCCATCAAAACAGATCAATTTTTAAAGGTCATAAATACCTTGATATGTCTTCCCATCTATTTCAACTTCATAGGATTCCATAACTTCTTGTATAGCCTCACCAACGTCACACAGACGAACATCAATTCCAGCACACTAAAAACAGAAATATGCAGACTTTGTAATAAAAATTTTACTGAAATTTAATTTCTTCCTTTAATATCTTAAAAGAATGGACAATTAGAAAAATGGCTTTCCTCTCTACAAGACCTTGGAGTCCTGGTGTAGAGAGTTGCTTATGAGTTGGAACCGACTCAATGGCACCTATCAACAAAAAATACCAATCCTGGGTATGTTGTTGTTGTTAAGTGCTGTTGAGTCATTTCTGACCCATAGCAACCCTGTACAGGGTTTCTGGGGAGCAGCTGGTGAGCTTGAACCACCGATCTTACAGTTCAAATGGCTTTGCAGTCTGGTGCCACACCAGGACACCAGCCCTGGGTATACTATACTACAATTACCCACTTAAGGCTTTAAGAAAAGGGAATCTGGTTGTATTCACCTAAACAGACTAAAGACCTCAAACAAATGATAAAGTAAATGATTAGATGAAATGGCATTTACAATGCACATACCTTTATTCCAGTATTAGTGGCATCTTTTACAGCTTTTAATAATGTATCATATTTGGGGTTAAAAGTGACTGTAAAAGCACAATCAATAATCCTACCTGAAAGAGAAAATTCTTAAGTTACTTCACAGTTACTCCATTCATCCACTTTATAGCACTTATTCTATTAATCAACCCTGACAGTTAACTGGGAAACATAAAATGATGGGCTCAAATGAGGAACGAACCTTAAGTACCCAGAGATCATTTGTAATCACGGCCTTTTAATTCCATTTTCCACAAACTTTTAAGCTCCCTCAACGAATATTATTCCAATGCAATACCAATTCAGTATCCAAGCAATCATGAGAAAAGATAAACAGAAACAAATCAAAGCAAGAAGAGATTAGAGATCAGTAATGCAGATGTTCTGGGTTAAACTGTGTTCCCAATGATATTGAAGTCCTAAGCCCTATATCTGTGAATGTGACCAAATATGGGGAAATAAGTTTTCTTTGTAGATGTTAGTCAGTTTAAGGTTCGCATTTTGGAGTAAGGTGTTATATAAAAGGGGAGAACAGACAGAAAGTGACACACAATGGAAGATGCTATGTAGACACATCTATAAGCAGCAAAGGTATTTCAAACACTGCCAGAAAAAACCCTAAGTTAGAAAGAAGAGAGGTATATGACAATTGCTTTCTCAAAGCCTTTAAAAGGAAAATAGCATAGTGGAAACCTGGATTTGGATTTTACAATATGATAGCCACCCACTTGTGGTATTTTGTTACCACATCCCTTGGAAACTAAAGAGAGTATAACAGACAAAGAACATATAGAACCATAGGACCCTAAACACCAGTCCTAGTTTCTCCAATTTAGTATTACCTTAAGTAAGTGCTTAATCTAAATGCTCTTTCTCACCTGTTAAGTGAGAATAACAAGATTTAGGGGAGAATTTGGAAAAACTAGCATGTATGTAAAGGTTCTAAATAAATGTTATTACTTCAGTAATGATGTCTGAAACAAAGACCTGAATCACTGAAATGTACAATTACAGTTTTCATTCCTTGACACAACACGTAACAAAACCTAAATGATCCAGTGGCTTTCATCTTACTTTAGGTTAAGGGATTTCTCTGAACTAAATCTGTCTCAATACAGCTGTACTGAAAATTACAGAGGTAAGAACAAATTTGGGAGTTCAACATTGACCGCACTATCCAACAGACACTAGCATTTGGGGGAAGGGGAAGAGTGGAGTAGGAATTATTTCCAAGAACTCACCACTTATATGTGTTCCAAAGTCTATCTTACAGATGTCATCATACTGTAACACTGTTGTGTCACCGGCATTGGGAGTATAGTGGGCCGCACAGTTATTGAGAGAACACCCAGTAGGAAACGCCAGACCTGCGTTCAAGCCATTCTCTTTGATTAGTTTGCGTGAACAGTCTTCCAACTTTTCACTAAGAAAAAAAGGGACATTGTTTACTTTTACATATAGCCCTCACAGCTCAAGTCTAGAAAGCTTAGTAAATAATTACTTACATTGTTTTTTTTCATTGTACTATGTTTTGTGTCTTACTCAAGTTACTCTAAAATTTTAACTTAATCTGAGTAATTTTAGATGGCAAAATAATAGGTTTCCACATAGAATATAATCATCAGTCTAATGTGTATATAAGTAGCTCTGGTATCGTAGTGGTTACGAATCGGGCTGCAAACCTTAAGGCATTCTGCTCCAGTAAAGATTTACAGTCTCAGAAACCCTGTACAGGGTCGCTATGGGTTGGAACTGACTCGAAGGCACTTAACAACAACAAATGTGTATATTGTACATGTGTGTCTGAGTACAAAATATGGTGGCTGAGGTGTAAACTTCTGTTGCTTGCATGCTATCCTTGTTACATCTACATTACTGGAAGAATCTGGAAGAGATTTTTCTAATGTTTATTTAAAATAAATTTTTTGCAATGTGGTAATGAAGCCAACTATTTCAACTAAACAAGTTTCTTGAAAATATGTTCTCACCATATTTCTATCATTGTCATCCCAGGCTTGATCCAGCTCATAACATATTTTCTAACTTGTCGATGTGCTTCTGCAGCTTCTCGAAAATCATTCCAAATCTCTTCACTGGCTTGATCTAATGCTTTCTTTTCTTCACTTGTCGTTCTCCAAGCAGCTGTTCGCCTTTTAAGTAGAAATGACACAGTATTAGTCCATTTAAAACAACAGAACAAGTGTAGCAGCTGAGGCAGATTTAAAATGAGTGCTTCCAAAAAATCATGGCAAAAGATAATTAAAATATAATGGAATTTATCCAGAAACTTTCTGAAGCCCCTTCAAACTAAGAAATTTAAGACATTAAAAAAAAAAAAAAGCTGTATTTTTAGTTTCTTTGATTAACTAACAAACACTGTACTACAAGCAGCTAGCTATATATTTGCACTCTCCATACACCAAGTTACACCTTTTATAAGATAAAAGGAAAAAAAAAAAAAATTCAAGTGAGACTTCATAGGAAAAAGAGAAAAAGAAGATATCCTTAGACTCAGGATCACACTCATCGACAGCATGGGAACTAGGGGTGCTGACTACTATGCATATACTTCAGAGCTGACTCTTGAAAACACAGGTTAACTTCAGGGACCCTCAAATAGGCAGATTCTTTTTGCTGCTGCTAAAGAAGCTCAAGGGGGTGAGCTCAAGTGTTGCAAATGGAGAGAAGACCTGCTCATAGGGCTGACTAGCCTCACACAGCTCTGTGAGCAACACCTGAGCTTGCTGCCTACTCACGAGAATACAAAAATCTGCATATAAGTGGGTTCACGCAGTTCTAACCCATGTTATTTAATGGTCACCTGTACAGTTATGAGGCTTCAGAGCTGTACACCAAAAATCACTATTTAACTCTCCCAGTAGGGCAAGTATTAATGCAAAAACCTGACCTGGACATCTACATGCGCCTTCTTCAAAATAGGTAATATTACGTAGGCTCCAGTGGGATTTTTCTAATGGGTTAATGGTTTGCTAACTGAAAAGTTGGAAGTTCAAACCCACCAGCTACTTTGTGGTGAGAAAGAGGCAGTGTGCTTCCATAAAGATTTACTTGGTCCTATACGGTTGCTGAAGGAGCAATGGTAGCATAGTGGTTACAATGGGCTGCTAGCCTCAAGGTCAGCAGTTCAAAACTACCAGCTGCTCCAAGGGAGAAAGATGAGGTTTTCTGCTCCTAACATTTACAGCTTGGAAACTTTTTGTACGGGTCGCTATGAGTCTGAACTGACTAAACAGCACCACATCACCACCACTACCACAGGGTTGCTGGAGTCCTGGTGTGGCACTGTAGGATAATGCACTGAACCATAAGGTCAGTTTGAACGACAGGGATGGTGGTTCAAACCAACCAGCTGCTCCTCAGAAACCCTATATAGGGTCACTATGGGTTGAAACTGATTCAACAGGGTTGCTGAGCCTGAACTGATTCAATGGTAGTGGGTATGGGTATGTCTATATTTCTATCTATTTGATGCATTAAACATTAGAGACCAAAGACCAGAGGAGTTGTGGGATGACATTAAGAACATCATACGTGAAGAGAGCAAAAAGTCATTAAGACAACAAGAAAGAAGGAAAAGGTCAAAATGTATGTCAGAAGAGACTCTGAAACTTGCTCTCCAGCGTAGATGCTAAAGCAAATGGAAAAATTGAAAAAGTCCAAGAGCTGAACAGAAAATTTCAAAGATCAGCTCAACAAGATAAAACCAAATACTATAATAAAATATGCAAAAATCTAGAAAACCAAAAAGGAAGAACACAGTCAGCATTTCTCAAGCTGGGGGAACTGAAGAAATAATTCAAGCCTCGACTTTCGTTATTGAAAGATTCTCTGGGCAAATTATTGAATGATACAGAATGCATCAAGAAAAGAGGGAAGGAACACACAGAGTCATTGTTACCAAAAGGAAATGGTTAATGTTCAACCATTTCAAGAGGTACCATATGAACAAGAGCCAATGATACTCAGGGAGGAAGTCCAAGGT